CTGATGATGTTTTATTATGGTTATATGGCAGACAAACGCCTCAGCCGGGGCCCACCTCGCTGTATCCATCGCCGAAAGAGGCATGGGCTTCTAGGCTCCCCAGGAGTAGATTTTAGGAGACTCAGATACCGTCACTTTTCAATTTGGAATTTAGAGGTGGCACAGAGTATTCCTGTTTATCCAGGGCTTACTGGGGAGCCTTCTAGATTTCAATGACAGCATAACACAGACACTGCTTTCCTTACACGCTTGTGCTTACAAGCGGTGCCTATGAGCCCGCTGGAATTGCATGCCTGGCTCCTGCCGGAAAAAGTCTTGGCTGGTGTGATGGCCGAAAGCGAGTACTAAAGTTAAAAACAGCTTGCTCAAGAAAAACAAGTCACATTTGCTGTCTAAGTGACAGGAGCCTGGCATGATGGAAAGCGGCACGGCAAAGGCATTCAGGCCTGGCTGCAGTTTTGTTGTTCTGAGTCTGGGGTTGAGACTTGCTCCATTTTTGAGGTTTATGGCCTACCGTATGCGTTCATGCTGGTGTCAGGCTGCAGATCTAGAGCGCGACGAACTTGATGTAGACTCTATCAGGCCGTGTTGTTGTAGGGGGCCTGACTCGTGGCGAGCTGCTTCAGGAATATGCCAACGGCGATTCCTACGATGGATGGTGGTACAACGGCAGCTTGGCGGATGCCTGAAGCATATTTATTTCTTTTATTGGCCTATGCATCTCCTTTGATTGATGGCTTTGAGCACCCCCCTCTGGCACCCTTCTGCCAGAGAGGGCATGGCTTCAAAGCGCTGCAGGGGCGAACTCCCCTGCAGGTAGAAGCCCCGCCGACACAGCTTCCTGTGCCCATGCCGGGACGGATTCCGGATGGTGTTCAGGGCTCCGGAATGCAACCCAATCGGTGGACAAGGGGCGACTGTTTTGCTGCAGACGCACGCTGAAACCGTGTTCATATTATGGGCACCGGAGATTAGTTTGCCAATCCGAGAAGTGCGAAACAGCTGAGTCTTGAGCCCTGGTCCCAAAACTCTAACCTCCAGTAGCAGTCCAAGAAAGTCTTGTTTTTCGACACTATACCGCAGCTCGGCCTCTAGCCCTCGTCGGACCTCTCGGAACCCGCGGCGAAGCCTCGAACCTTGTGGTGCTACGAAAATGCCGTACCTATACTCTACATATACATATATTTAGTTATATACATACATACATACATATTTTTACACACTATCCATGTCAGTACAAACAAATGAGTATATATATATATATATCTATATCTATATCTATATCTATATCTATATCTATATCTATATCTATATCTATATCTATATCTATATCTATATCTATATCTATATCTATATCTATATCTATATCTATATCTATAACTTGCCTTTGCATGAGCATGTAACTACTGTGGTCTTCTTTTCAATTGTGTACACAGCGACGCCCTCTCCAGGATCCTGCAAGCCACTCCGGGGTACCTATGGGGTTGTTGGGGCTAATGTGGCTTGCTTTCTTGGTGAGCGCTAGGTTTCTGAGGCTCGGCGACGATACGTGTGCCCTTTCCCTTACGGTTGTCATTTGCTCCTGGGCCTTTCGAAGTGGCACACGTATTCTCCCTGGGGCCCCTCTCTTCAAGTCTTCGAGTTCTGACGAGTTCCCTGCGGTGCGACTTGTTTCAGCTGGGCGGGTGGCAAAAATATCTATATCTATATCTATATCTATATCTATATCTATATCTATATCTATATCTATATACATATTTATACAACATTTACGTATACACACATCTATCTATATATATATATAGATGTATACATATGTATACATATGTGTACATATGTATACATACGTATTTCATATTCACTCCGGAACATAACATCACATCACGTCATGTTGCAGAAAATAGGGGTCGGCCCGGTAGAAGTCAGTGCCCAGGCCAGTGCAGCGGGCTGGGCATCTACTACTTCGCCGACGGCTCCCAATACCGAGGGGCCTGGAGTCATGGGAAGTACGTGCCTTGGCCCAGTCTGTTGGGCGCAGTTCATTGCTGAGGCTGGCTCGAATTCGAAACCCGAAACCCAAGCCCCAAACTTTAAACACCAGGAAAAGGCTGTTTACCGTACAAATGAGTGCAGGCCGACTGGCAGACCGGCTAGCCTTGAAAACTGTTTTGGGTGGGATCTGCTGCGTATCTCGTTTTTTTCCAGACTCTGTGTCAAGATGTCTGGCCCGCTCGAACTTTCCTTGATGCCCTGGTGGGGCCTGCTTGGGGTATTTGGGTACGGTTGCTCCTCAATGCTGCGAGGATGGCGAGGGACTCCTTTATCTCGCGAATGGAGAACGAGAGCGGATGACTTACTTGAATGGAGACTCGACCGGTTTCCGGCTTTTGCATTTCCTTCTGGGTGAAGTTTCGTGTAGTTTACAGTTTACACTCCGCGTAGCAAGCTCCACACAGCAGAGTGTCTCGCCATGTCTGAGGGCGGCTGATGAAACGCGAAGTTCTGACCCCGTCTCCACCGCCACAAGTTGGTAACAAAACGAAGCCGTTCCTTGGCGATGATCCAGGCTTCTTTTTGCTTTTCCGGCGATGATCCTGTACGAGACCCTTGAGAACGCCAAAGCCCGACTGTAACCCACGTTTGGATAAGTTTTCACAATCGTTTGCTTGCGTTCACTGCCAAAGCAGGGCCTTCAGTTTGGGGCTATGGACTCAAGCTGAGTTACTTCGTTTTCGGGCGTGCGCCCTAGGCATGGAACTCAAGGCCGGAACCCAGAGTCGAACGCATCCGAATGCTGCTCTCTTATGGAAGCCATGCTTTGGACGAAACTATGAGCCCCAAACTCCAAACCCCAAAACGTCGCCTTGGCTGCCTCTCTGCTTGATTGCCTCAGCACTGCATCAGCTGATCTTGCGGTGCCAGCGACGTCAAAGTAATCGCATTGCTATGAGCTGTGAACTCAAGACGCTCAGACAGATTCAAACCGTTAGATTCCTGACACTTTGCTTTGTTGGTTACTTATCCTCAAGCTTGAGACCTTAGAGTTTGTTTTCTACCGCTAGCTTGCAAAGCTGCAGCACTCAGAAGCGGCGAGACTCCATGCTCACTTGCTGATTCAAGAGTTGTTGTCTTGCCACCCAGTCTTGATCACGATCTGAGATCGAAATCCGTGCTCGGCAAAAGAGCCGTGCTCCATGCAAAAGACATTGAATAGAAGATGAACGACAGGGTCACTCAGTATATCGATAATGCTATTCATGTCAGGCGCAGTGTCCGATCTTCTACTAGTCGCTCCTGTAGCTGCTGCTGCTGCTACGACGACGTGGACAACGACTACAACTACTGCTCTTTTTGCTGCTGCTCCGGCAGCTGCTGCTGCTACTGCGAACCACGCGACTATTCCTAGCTACCGGAGAGGAGCAAACCGCTAATAGTGGTGCAGCTCAGGGGCATCTTCTGCGGCATCCATCTCTCCCAAGATCGGGTGGACATGATGATCCCCACCGTGCGCCAGCAGAACCACGGATACTTGTTCTTAATCTGTGATGTGCCTCTGCTGCCAGACCGAAGGGATCCAACAGAATAGAGTGCTCATGTGTCGTAGTGTGGCTTGCTGTGGAAGTAAGCTGTGCTGTGGGCATGTCACTTCCGTCGTAAGCCTCGGCTCAGCACGGATTCAAGAGGAACAGAGCACACCCCGAGACGGTATCCTACAATTTCACGCGTGGGACGGCTTTTGTTTTTTCTGATTCGGTTTTAGATGCTTCCAGGGGTTTGAGTGGGTGCTTCGGTACAGACTCATGGCCGCAGCTGAGGAGATGTACAGTTGTTGATCAAGCGGGACTGTGACATGTACGACTTGTCGGCCCCTCCTATCCGCCTTCCAGGGCAGAAGTCTGCTAGCGAGAAGATGTTCCTCGGCGTGCATGTCTGTTGCATTGACTGTGGTCTCTGATCTACCGTCCTGGGCCTGGAAGCTTCCAGGGGCGGTAGGTGTGATAAGTCTGCCTGCAGCAGAAAGAGAACATCAAGACTGCTTGGTTTGATAATGGTGCGTGGCGAGGTTCCATGTCAGGCTTCGAAGATTTGGAAGAATCCGCTTTGGCCGTGTGACGAATTGAGCATACCAAGGGCTGATGACTTGCTGGGCACTTCCATCGATACCGTGACTGGTGGCGACACTGTGGGCGACTACAGCAGTGTTACTTGGTTTGAAGAAGACCTGCAAGCATCTGTGCGGATGCGAGTTAGGCCTCATCACCTCCCCAAAATCCATGCAATCGCTGCCAGCGTAGTCATGACATGTTAAGTCTTATCCACGGCTGCTGCTCCTGACGTGATGCTTGCTTGTCCAAGGTGCTCACATCTGGCCCATCCATGGATGAACCTACCTTCCTCACGGGATCCTGAACTTCACGAGATTCAGGGCTGCCCAGGCAGCGATGGATCACATGCTCTGGAATGCGGAGACAGATGCAGTCTCCAGCATGACTTGTGTGCTGGCTTTCCGTCAGGGCCGCTTCTTTCATCATCTCGGTGGACACATGATCGATTGTTGACCAAATCAGCGGACAGTTCAGATTCTGTCGCGTCTCACTTGTTTAGAAGTAGTCTTGGAGCAAAGGCAGCAGAAGGCACAGTGGTTCGGCATCGGCACTAGAAGCCTGTAAGCACAGGGTGCCCAAAAACCTGGCGTTTCATTGTTTGTAACCCTCCGCCGGACTGTTGCCTGCGCAACAATTGCGCCTAGCGAGTCTGTCATGGCATGTCGTTGAATCAGAACCGCCAAAGAACACGGCCATGAGCTCCTAAGGAGTTGCATGAATGTGACCCGCGGCGTCTGGAAATCGGCCGTGCCTGGAAAGCTGGCACGGCCATAAACGCCAAACACGTTCGCAGAAACAGGTACTCGTACGGGCGGGCACCTCACACGATGCGTCATGCAGCCCAGGGCCTAGGGCCTAGCAGCTCTCCCAGCCAGCCGGTTGCTTACACGCCAGGGCCTGCTGCGCGCACGGTCCAGGGGTCAGGCCTGAGCTTGTTGGTAGCTCCACTGCATGGTGCGACAGAACTCCAGCCCAGCTTAATGCCATGATTCAGTGATGACCGGTGGGTCCTTTCTTGTATGTCAGGCTGCTGCAGAGACCGACTGCCGCGACCGGCGCTGCAAGCTGCTCTTCAGGTTCCGACCAAATGGGTGACGCTTTTGACAACGGTGTCCGTTCTGGTTTCACTGATGCCTGCCGAAAGACAGTTTGAGATTTCGGGCTGTCAGGCAGTCTCAGAAAGAAGAGGGATTTAGCTTTTCGAAGATCCCCAGTTTGGAGCAAACATGTTGAGGCTCCCTCCCAGACTCATACGCAGTGTTGAGCAGCTTTATGTACCTTTTTGTGAAGTCGAGGGGGCTCTAGCATGGTGTAGTGTAGTATAGCAGAGCAAAGTAGAGTAGAGGTTGTCGTAGTAGAGCACTGGGTCTAGTAAGCGAGTCTAGCAACGCAAGGTGAATTGAGTACAACTGAAAGAACACTTGCAGCAAGTACGCGGCTTTCTGCGTCTTTGTATGGTTCACCATGGCACAATTTAGTTTGGTTTGGCATGTGTAGCCAAGTTCCCCTCGGCCGCAGCCGGGAATTTGGGAATGGATGCTTATGATAGTCCTTTATAGCAGTCCCCATGACCCATTTCCCGCCTTCCCTACGAGGCAGTTTCCGAAAATTAGGGGTACCTTATTTTTGGGCTCCCCTAAAGTAAGGATCCTACTAAATAGCGTGCTATATTAGGGTCCGCTATTTTCGGAAACTCCCGACCAAGAACAAGGGAGTAGTACCCTTATAGATCCCTTACAGTAACCCTAATAGACCCCCTTAAAGGAACCCAATTCTAATTCTTAAGGCGCCTACACCATAGTACCTTTCTAGATGCCTTCTAGTAACCCTTGTATAGACCCCTTTAAAGGCACCCTCTCCTAATCCTTCTTTTAGTGTCCGGAAGGTCGCAGAGGGAAACGGCCTGGGCCAAGGCTAGGCATCTGACTCCGCAGGGTCTGCTATTATATGTATATGCATACGTGTATAATACAATAGACAATGTTTCGACGCAGTCCACATGTGAATGGAAATCACAAGCGGATTTGACACGCCTCCCAAGAGAGGGGAACCCGCAGCACAGAACCACAGTCCTTCCCGTAACCCTGATGGGCAAGGTGCAAGCAGGCAAAATTCAAGGGCCAACCATGGAAGCAGTGTGGCAGCATCCCGAAAGGTAGAAAACGCAAATGCACTTCGCTGGGGATTGGGTGCGAGCCATTCAGCAAAGCCAAGCTTACACAGCAATGCAGCGATACGGGTGTGCCAAGATGCCCAACATCTTCACACCGCTCAAGTTAGTGCAAAAGCTCGTCTTGCCACGAACGGGCCGTGGCACGAAGCTTCGAAATCTGAAGACAAGACTGGCAATGCGCAAGTCGCACTTTTTCAAGCAGGTCCTGGAATCCCGCCCGACAATCGCAAAGATATCTCTGAGAGCGAGCAGAATGTTCTGTTTCATCTGTATTATAATAGTATTATTATTATTATAGTATTATTATTATTATAGTATTATTATTATAGTATTATTATTATTATTATCGTACTACTGTTGTAGTATGGTCTCAAGCTCTCAGGAATGAAGTCGGGTCTCGGCTCTGGGTCGGGCCACTCAGCGGCTACAGCAGGGCACAACCGCACGTGACTACATATATAGTAGTAGCCAGAAAGTTGGAACATGGCTTTAAGAGGATTCGTGCTGGGATCCCTTATACTTTACCTTAAGGGCATGAGGAGAGTCATGTTCCAACTTTCTGGCTTCTACTGTATACATACGTACATACATACACGTGCACCCGGAATCCCGATTCCCATTGTTTAGGCGTCTGTATTATGTACATCAGCCAGGTGCGGCAGAAGATGCGGAAGGAGACATCGTGTGCTGGCGCGAACTCGTTTCTTTCTCCTACTCAGATGGGCCCGGCCGACTGCAACAGCCACATAGCCCAGTATCTCATGGCATGGTATGGCCTGGCCTCGACTAGCCTAGCCTAGTGTAGTCTAGTCTGGTAGAATTTTAGGCAACTGTTCGTAAAGGTCGTTTGTGCGTTTGCCGGCAAGCATTCCCAGGTATAGCTCCTTGGTGCGGAGCTAAGCTTCCCGGATTGAGTTTTTTCGAACTCTGCGCTTTTCCTGCGCTGAGAAACTTGGAGTTCGCCCTGCCAGCCGCAGATCCCTTAAGAAGCCGAGGTGGCTTCTTTCCTGAAGGCGGGCTTCAGAGAAGACAAGGCTGGCTGCCCATCTCTGCTTTGCGAGAGCTCTCCGACTTGACAGAGGTGCGAGTGGCATCTTCCCCCAAGAAGGGGGCCCGGGACCCGGTGGTTTCAATGCAGATGCACGTAGTCTCCATGTCGTAGCCACCGGGGCAGCGAGGAATGTCAGACGAATGTCCACCTGTAGCTTCGTTAGTCATATGCAAGCTCGCTCAGTCCGCAGGGCACAGAGCAAATGGAGGAGAGCTGGGCTCCTCCAACCTTTCTCGTGAATCCTCAGCCGTCAGCGCCAAAGCGTGCACAGAGCCAAATGCAGGGCATCCCTAAGAGTCCTTCAACGCTTAGTCACTAGTCACTCCCCTGATCTGCCCCGGAAGTGCACGGCCAGACGCGCATCGTAACGCAGACCGAGTGGTGCAATAGTTGTGTGACCTAGCGGACCTACTCGTAGCACCATTTGGGTCACAACCAGGAAGTCCTAGCAGCAACATGCCACTTTCGTCCCGGGTAGACACAGAGGCTCTTGGGGAGATCCCAAGCCCCCAAAGCCGAGGACCTGCCGCAAGCTCCAGAGCTCCAGCCTGCAACTCTCCTTGGCGGTGCCTCGCCTCGGATTCCTTTGGAGACTCACTTCCCATCTTGGAAATACTGCGAGTTGACGGTAACGGTGTTATGAGAAGAACAGTAGAAAGAGTGACGACCCTCGTGCTTGCAATAAACCCAGGAACTGTAGTAGTTGTTGGAAAATGGAAGGGGTCTCCCCAACTAGAGGTGTCGAGCAGAAGAGGCCGCTGGCACCTCCACGTGGGTGCTGTCTTGTACCGCGTTATTCCTTTAGGTTTTGATTGCAGCTGAGTGTTGTGTCAAGACTTGTGCCGTGGGCGCCTGACTAGAATCTGCTTGAACTTGGGGCCATGACATAGCGCGCCTCACTTCAGTTTAGCGGTTAAATGATTGGTTGTTCAGACTCGGGGGTAAACCTTTAAGGAGATGTGAGGAGGATTCCTTGGCCTCTTTGTCGATGGCTTCAAGTTAGTTGAAGGGCCGAGAGGCATGAGTTCAGCCAACTTTTGCCTTAACATACCGACCCATGAGTTCCAGAAATCTTCAGGAACTGCTCGGACAGAGAACACAACCTGGGAGAGGCACATGCAGCCTGTCATAGTAGCCTGAGATTTTCTGTGGTGTTTTGGTTGCTTTGCTCTCGGCGGCTCAGCTCCAAAAAGACGTGGAAGCATGACTTTGACATAGCTTGCATGAAGTAGTATGTGTAGTAACACTGTAGTAATCTGGAGAATCTCCGAAGTTTCAACGGAGGTTTCCCCTCCGAGCAACCTCCTGAACGTAGTGGCTGTATCCTGCAAATCCAGAGAGCTTGGGGCTGGGGTGAGGGGTCATTTGCAGGGTCAGCGTTGCTGAACTCTTATCCTAAACCCTGCAAATCCTTGGAGACCTTGCCATGCCGATCCTTCGGCTCTTCTGTCTGACCATGGGGTTGCTGCCGGACTGCCGTGGTGGCAACGTCCTGATCTTGAATGTTGATCCGCAGGCCGCTGGAGCTTGTCCCACATCTTGGCAGATCACAACAGGCACAGCTGGCAACCAAGTTTGCGTAAGATCTGGATTCCCTTCTTCATCCACTGTGGTGGATACCTCCACCGTCATGAAGCAAGCCGGCAATGTGAAGGGGCGGCGGATCTACGACAGAATCTTCGGGACAGCCAAGATCTACCAGAAAGGTTCTACGGATGCTTTCGAGATCGGGAGCCGAGATTCCAGCGGGATCGACTCCAGCGATTATGTCGACGGCATGTCAGTGACCATCGGTTCTCCTCGCCTTCACATCTTCACCTTAGCCTTAGGGACTTCTTACGACACCGCCCTTGGGACAGGTGGTATGTGCCCCTGCGATGCTATAACCCAAAGTGCACAGTGTGGGGGAGACCCCGTCCCCGGCTTCCTCAGTGGAGAGGCGGTGAGTTGCGACTCTGGGACCCTGGGAACGGCGAGCCTGGCCTGGGGCAGCAGACTAGTGCAGACCTCTTTTGATGTGGCGGTCTCTGTGACGTCAGCACACCTGGAGGTGAGGCTCATGAGTGATGCTGCCCGAACCTCAGGCAAGAAAACGGAAAGCACAGCTTGTCCGACCGTTCTGCAGGACAATAGCCCAGTAGCCTGGCACCGAGGTGAGCACAAATGAAGACGTGGGGGTGTTGGAGCTGCTTGTCTATGTGGAGGAAGTCGAAGACAACACACCGCCACAGTTGACGCTGTTGGGATCCTCACCGCTGAAAGTGGAGGTTGAATCCGTGTTTTCCGACCCTGGTGCGACTTGCGTCGATGACATCGATGGAGTGCTGAACTCCAACATCACTGTTGTCGGGTATGTGAACACCAGCCAGCTGGGAGAGCAGGAGCTTCGCTACATCTGCGAGGATTCGTACGAGAACAGTGTGAATCAGACTCGTCGAATCACCGTGCTGGATTCAGAGATGCCAGTGCTTGAGCTTGTGGGGGAGACACGTGTTTGCCTGGAGGAGGGCGTCCCGTATGTGGAACAGGGTGCAACCTGTACCGATGCCGTAGATGGAACCTACCCAGCGACAATTGCAGGCAACGTCGACCCTGATGTGCTTGGAAACCAAACCATCTTGTATTCCTGCAGCGACAGTGCCGGGAACAATGTAACGGTTGCAAGGACGATTACGGTCGTGTCCAGCGACATGCCCGGTAATCTGTTCCTCACCAGTTATTCTGCTGAGATTGGTGGGGTGACAGAGTCATTTGCACCCCAAGTGCTGGGCGAAGGTGTGAATCCGGCGACGGACTTTGCGTTCAACTGGTCTGGCGACGTCACTGGCGGTCCCGAGTACTGTCGGTTCATCTCGGTCTATGAGTCCCTAGCTGATGGAAGTCTAGAGCTTGTGAAGCAGTACGAGGGTGTGAGCCTTTTCAGCTTGGGTGTTCTGGCCGAGCCTCGGCAGCTCCAGCTGGCGCAGGGGTCAGATGCATCCCTGAATGCAGGGCTGAAAGACGCAACGCCCTACACCATAGTGTTAGATGAGCTCTTGGTGTTGGACCAGTCCGGATACGGCAATGCACGACAGTCCCTTCGAATCCTCACTGGTGATTACTCTCCACCCATCTTGTTAGAATCGCAGCCGCCTGCCATGCACCCGGCCTGGCCCTTGTCAGCCGGCGTCAGCTTACGCTTCGACGAACCCGTTTTGCTCGGAAATGCTTCTCTGAGAATCTTGGATCTTGGGCTCGGTGTTGAGGAAGAGGTGCCCTGCGATGGCTCCTTGTCGACACGAGGCCTTTCAGTGCAAGTGCACAACAGTAGCATTCAGATTGTGGGCTTAGATGCGATCTGGCAGCCCTGTGCCGATTTCCTCATGACCGTGGATGCTGCGTGTGTCCTGGATGTATCACCCAACATAAACCCCTTTCCGGGACAGATCCTCCCTTTCGCGACTTCTTGTGTCATCGGCGTCAGCCCAGCGCGGAACAGTTTACAGGTCTCACCCAACAGCCCCCTGATCATTACCTTCTCGGAGCCGATAGAGTGGACCTCATCAAACGTCTCTGGAGTACTAATTCAGATCGTCAACGAGAGAGAGCTTCGTGTTGGCCCTGGAGATTGGCCCTTTGTGTATATTTTGGAAGCCATCCTGACCGTGGACTTGGCATGCGTCACGAAGTATTGTGCCATTCACAGTGCTTTTACGAATGTGACGGCGCGATTTTCCTCGGGACTTTGCAGCGGGCTCCAGTCCCAGCAGTGTAGGGGGAAGCTTCACCAGGCGGGCTTCGCCAAAAGCCTGTAATTGCGAGAGGCCCCACTTCCCAACTTGTAGGAAGAGGAGCGGAGGAAGCACAACAGTAGAAGTTCTTGAAATATTCTTCACTTCAGAGTCAGAGTCACACTCTCTCAAAGTCTTCCTCCCTTCCTCTCGTTTTCTCATCATGGGATGCCCAAGACGTCCTCCCAGTCCCAGGTGCTCCTCGAAGCCGGGACCTTGGCCCGGGCCAACGGATCCTGGCCCCTGGGCTCGGTCCTCAACGGCACGGCACTCCCCATGCAGCTCCTGGAGGTCTGCACAGGGGGGCGGGGGGTGTCGGGGAGTGGGTTACTATAGGGTACTGGGGCACCAAAGAGAGTGATGGTAATACTGTTAATAAGAAAATAACAATAACAATAATGATCATAGCAATGAATATAATAATGGTGACATGGTGGTGCCATCGAGGCCGGCCTGCAGTGATGGTGAAACCTACCTGGGTCTAACCAGATCAACCTTCTGGTCCGAAGTTGAACACTGCAGGACCCTTACTATTTTACCCTCGAGCCGATCGATGCGACTGCCCCGCAGCTGCTTGCTATGGATGTTGCCTTGGTTTCCCAGAGCCAGGTGCCACATCTCAAGAAATCGTATGGCTTTAATATGGCCCTCGAATGATTTCTCGGTAGGCCCAGTAGGAACCCCAGTAGGAACCCGTACTAGTAGAAGTTGTCTGGGCTTAAACTAAAGTTGACAGGCCCGAGCATACATAGATAGACAGATAGATTGTTTGCTTCGAGCCCGCACCAGTGACACAGCCGGGCAGGCGGGCTCTTCCTGACTTATGCTCCTTATTTCAGGAGTGTTATCGAAGTCATGAGTCGAGTTCTGGTAAACTAAGATTACACTGGTACATGAGGAAAAGTGTAGCTCCTGCTAGCACGATGAGCTTGCAGGGATTCTGGATTTCGCAGTGCCGCTTCGTGCTAGGTTCAGGGCC